CAAGTGTTTTGCGTTTGAAACACTGATAAAATCAACTGGTGAATGCAAGTATTCTGCGTTCAAAAAAAATGGCTGTAAACTCAAATGCCTGTAAACGAAGATGTGTACATGGACACATAGGAAAACATTAGGGTGAGTTCAGGGGCTGCTGAAAAAAAAAAATGCTGAACAGCTCCTAAACGCGAGTTTATCAGCTGCAGTGTACATGAGCCCTTATTGAATAAAAACCAAACAGCTTAACTAAATATAAATGGTGATGTGATTTCCTGACAAGCTCTAATGAGCTACATGAAAGTAAAAGGGTGTTGCTCACATCTAAATGCATTCCCGCATTATCATATAAAACAGTTATAAATGTGTCATGGGACACTCCCTAAGTTCACACTACTGTGTAAAACTCAGTGTACAAAAATCAATAGATACATACATAAATAATATAAAAGTGATAGGTCAATCTCTTAATCCGTGAATATAACATCAAAAAGTCTAGAAACAATGCATATAGTCCCAAAAAAAGATTTTTCTGTATCCAGACAATACCTTCCTCCCATCTGTGCTCAGTAATCAAACAGTCCACACCAACATGCAAGTGGGTGCCACCAACTATTCTCCAATGCACTCACCTCAAATAGTGGACCTAAAACATTCGTTATTAGGTCTAAATGAGCATTTTCCCTCAGGGGGTATGAATATGTTACATGCTTTCTTCCTGGGATTCCTTCTCCCCTTTGGTAAGACACCTGGCATATGTCTCTTTAAGTAGTGTGTAGTAGTGTGAATTTAGGGAGCGCCACGACACATTTATAACTGTCCTTCCAAAAACTTACCTGAGCCCCGTGGCAATCCAGCGATGTGCACAAGAGCCTCGGCTCTCCTAGGTCTCTCCCTCCTCACCGGCTGAGACAGCAACAAAAGCCATTGGTTCCTGCTACTGTCCATAACAGCCAGTGAGCCAATGAGGAGAGAGCGGGGATGGGCCCAAGCCACATCTGTGTCTGAATGGAGATAAAGATCAGCGGCTTAGGAGCAAAGGGTGCCCTCATAGCAAGCTGCTTGCTATAAAAACACCTGGCAGGAAGAAGGGCCCAGGAGCACCAGCAGGAGACCCGACAAGAGGAGGACTGAGGCTGCCCTGTGCAAAACCATTGCACAGAGCAGGTAAGTACATTCACATCTCACTGACAGATGCATTTGATCTCCCAAACTGCATGAACCTGTTTCAAGCTGCTTTTGTTTTCCCAGTGACTTGTATGGGGAAAGAAGTGCTTCTAACAGGAACATAAGCATGTCAATATAGGACCTTACATAAGGACATAATGATTTTTTGTGTTTCATAATACCTTGTTTAGATAATTATTATAGGCAGCCAATACATAAAATTTTATAACAAAATTATCTTTTTAAACACTGTATTATCTTCTTTAGGCTCCATGCACACTAGGAAAAACACTGGGAAAAACCCTGGATAGAAAACGCTGGTAATAGCATTTTTTAGGAGCGTTTAGGAGCGTTAGCATTTTTTCAGTACATGTAGAAGAAAGAAACAAAAAGCTAGATAAAAGCTGTTTTAGTTTTTGCGTTTTAGTAGAATTTAGCAGTGTTTTCAAGCATTTAGCATTTTTTTCTGCTATTATTATTATACAAGATTTATATAGCGCCAACAGTTTGCTCTGCGCTTTACAATATAACGGGAGACAATACAGCAACAATACAAGAGGGTTAAGAGGGCCCTGCTCCTTGGAGCTTACAGTCTAAGAGGGAGGGGCTGGTGGTACAAAAGGTAATAACTGTGAGGGATGGACTCGTATGAGGAATAGAAGATTCCGTTATTAGCTGAAGGCAGGATAGGCTTCCCTGAAGAGATAGGTTTTCAGAGATTGCCTAAAAGTGGGTAGACGATAGTCTGATAGATTGGGGTAGAGAGTTCAAGAGAATGGGGAGGCTCTGGAGAAGTCCTGGAGACGAGCATGGGAGGAGGAGACAAGGGAGCTAGAGAGCAGGAGGTCGTAAGAGGAGCGGAGAGGACGGTTTGGGTAATATTTGGAGTCAAGATTGGTAATGTAATTCTGTTGGAAAAACATTGCAAAAAACTCTACAAAAACAATTTGAAGCTGAAGCTCAAAAAATGCTAATAACCTAAAATAGTGTGCATGAACACATAGGATAACACTATTTACAGTTGCAAGAAAAAGTATGTGAACCCCTTGGGATTACGTGGAGTTTTGCATGAATTGGGCATAAAATGTGCTCTGAACGTCATCTAAGTCACAAAAATAGAAGAACACAGTCTGCTGAACATAATACTACACAAACATTTGATGTTGCCATGGTTTAATTGCACATAACATGTAAACATTCACAGTGCAGGGAGGAAAAAGTATGTGAGGCCCTAGCTTAATGACTTCTCCCAGAGCTAATTGGAGCCAGGAGTGAGCCAACCTTGACTCCAATCAGTGTGGTGATAATGGATGTGTTGCTGACAGCTGTCCTGCCCTTAAAAAACACACACCTGTTTTGGATTTACTGGTTTCAAGAAGCACTGTCTGATGTGAACCATGCCTTTCAGAAAAGAGCTCTCAGAAGACCTACGATCAACAATTGTTGACTTGCATGAAGCTGGAAAGGGTTACAAAAGTATCTCCAAAAGCCTTGATGTTCATGTGTCCACCGTAAGACAGACTGTCTACAAATGGAGAAAGTTTAGCACTGTTGCTACTCTCCCTAGGCGCGGTCGTCCTGTAAAAATTACTGCAAGAGCACAGCGCAGAATGCTGCATGAGGTAAAGAAGAATCCCAGAGTGTCAGCTAAAGACCTACAGAAATCTCTGGCACATGCTAACATTTTTGTTGACACATCTACAATAAGGAAAACATTAAACAAGAATGGAGTACATGGGAGGACACCACGGAGGAAGCCATTGCTGTCCAAAAAGAATATTGCAGCACGTTTGAAGTTTGCAAAGGAGCACCTGGATGTTCCACAGCACTACTGGCAAAATATACTGTGGACAGATGAAACCAAGATTGAGTTGTTTGGGAAGAACACACAACACTATGTGTGGAGAAAAAAAGGCACAGCACACCAACATCAAAACCTCATCCCTACTGTAAAACATGGCGGAGGGAGCATCATGGTTTGGGGCTGTTTTGCTGCCTCAGGGCCTGGACGGATTGTTGTCATTGATGGGAAAATGAATTCCAGAGTTTATTAAGACATTTTGCAGGAAAACGACCATCTGTCCGCCAACTGAAGCTCCGCAGAGGATGGGTGATGCAACAGGACAATGACCCAAAGCATACAAGTAATTCAACAAAACAATGGCTGCAACAGCACAGAATACGCCTTCTGGAGTGGCCCAGTCAGAGTCCTGACCTCAACTCGATTGAAATACTGTGGCATGACCTTAAGCAAGCGATTCACACCAGACATCCCAAGAATATTGCACTGAAACAGTTTTGTGAAGAGGAGTGATCCAAAATTACTCCAGATTGTTGTGCAGGTCTGGTCTGCAACTACAGGAAACGTTTGGTTGAGGTTATTGCTGCCAAAGGAGGGTCAACCAGTTATTAAGTCCAAAGGTTCACATAATTTTTCCTCCCTGCACTGTGAATGTTTACATGTTATATGCAATTAAACTATGGCAACATCTAATGTTTGTGTAGTATTATGTTCGGCAGACTGTGTTCTTCTATTGTTGTGACTTAGATGACGTTCAGAGCACATTTTATGCCCAATTCATGCGAAACTCCACGTAATCCCAAGGGGTTCACATACTTTTTCTTGCAACTGTAGCTTCTAGGAGCAGAACAAATATGCTGATAATAGCTTCTAGGAGCTTAAAAAAACGCTAGTGTGCATGGAGCCTTAAAATGATACTGTGTGCAAAGAACAAATACCCTGACAGCTGGAGTGATACAGTTTGTTTGGCCTAACAGCCTCATATTATCACTTTGCCATAGCAGACACACATAGTAATCTTGTGATCATGAAAACACACTGATTGGACTGAAGTGAGGAAAAGCTTTCCAAAGTGGAAAGAACTGTCAATAAAAAGATCTAGCAAGAAAGAAAATACCACTTTTGAGTGGAGTAAGCCTTCAATGCTGGATTTCAGCAAGACAAAACATGTCAGCTAAGAACAATCTTGGCCAAACACAGGAGCTATAACACATGCCCAGAGCCTAGGTCACGTGTGATGAACATGTACCCACAAGGTCTGAATACTGCAGTTTGCCCAGAAAGTTGTTTTCAGCATGCGAGACAGGCATTAAGAGGTGTTTGTGTAGGAAAAGGGGCAGAGAAAGTGCTAAAGAGATTACAGTTTGAGTTGGTGATGCTCCAGGAAATTGCATCCAATGCACAATTTACTCCAGGACAACTCAGCACACTGATGGTTTAAAATGCAATCACACAGCAGCAGACCCTGAGAAAGACAGAAATGAAAAAAAATTCAATCCCATCAAAGCAAAAACGCAAATGAAATTTCTATCTGGGAGACTTGATATCAGATTAATACAGATTAATAGAATCTTGGTTTATATAGAAAAAAAAAAAATCAAAAAATAAAGAGAACAATGACATTGTTCAAAAAAAATCTTTTCAGTTATGTTTTAAGACCCAAGCGCCAGGGACTGCCTGGTGAGCGATGGAAATGCAAGCCAGCTCTGTCTGGCAACCAATGAAACAGCGCAGTGACATTTACTGTATTACCTATGTTGCAACATTTTGTTGGTAAAGGCTGCTGAAGTTACATTAAAGTGCTACTAAACCCACAACAGTAACGTCAGTCTGTATATGCAGTAAAGCTCGCTTGTTATACTCACTGTGGAACCTAAGGGGTTAATCCTCTGCTTTGTGTAAAAAGGCTGTTTGATCCTGTCTTCTCTGATCCTCTCCTTTTTTTTTTACCGTCCCCAATCCATCTGCCATAGTTGGAGCAGCCACAAGTCTGAACATTTTCTGTTTGGTGTGTATTGCTAGAGAGTTTTTGTTTTTTGAGGGTGCATGTGATTAGCACAGGGCCAATCAGGGCTCTCCAGACAGAGGGTTGGGGGTCATGCAGCCTCATAGGACAGTTAGAGGAGAATGAAAACTCCTCCTACAAGATTAACCAGTGCTTTGCTGGACATTGATAATATCAAGTCACAAGACTGCTATATATTGCTGAAGAGAAAAGGTATTTAGCAGATTATATTTACTAAAATAATTGCATTTCTATGTCCTGTGTACTGTGGGAGAGCAGATATAGTGAATGCAGGGTCCTGGGTTTAGTAACACTTTAAACACTATTGATATACTCCAAAAATATAATATACAGATCCATTACTGTGGCCCTGTGATCTATTTTTAATGGATTCATTTCTTAGCCTAGGTTCACACTGATGCAGTGCAAGTTGAATCTATTTTGCAGTGCTATTTCAGGAGCAGCTCCAGTGTGCATTAGTTACTGGAATCTCCTAGAGTCCACAGCATACAGATTCCATTCAATTCTGTGGAACTACAAACTGAACCGCACTAAACTCGCACAGGACCCTTCTTCAAAGTGCATTGGATTTGCACTGCACATATGTGAACAGCCTCCATAGAAACGAATGTTCTTCGCATCAGAAATCGCATCAGTGTGAACCAGGGCTTACTTTGTTTTTCTGCCTCCTTCTAACATACTCTGTGAGCCCCCAAAACCTCTCATTTTCCCCCTCACTTTTGTTTGTTTGGAATGAACAGTGGATGCTAGTTGTGGCCACGTCCAATGCGCTATGCACACTACACATCCTATAGTCCCTGGTTCATCCTTGAATCAAGCAAGAGAGGGTGGTTATGTTCCTACATATAGTGGGACCATGGAGAATGGACGCAGCCACCCGCTAACAGGAAGTCATATCACAACAGCAAAATAATAAAAGGAATTTTGAGAATAAAAGCGCTGGTAGCAGTAGAAGGTACTTTTTGTGTAAGAATACCTACTTAAATGAGGGGATGGGACCAGTTTTCTGATTCAAAGCTTCACAGCCATGGCATGTGTATACCACAGTACGGCTGTCTGTGCAACTTGGAGGGGGACAGTGACAACAAGCGGTTAAGTCCATGGCAAGTGTAAACTAGGCCTAATGCAGGCCATAGATGGGTTGAAAACCGGCCGTTTAAAAAAAAAAAAAAACGAAAATCGGTCGTTCAATAGGCCAACGTTACCACCAAAACAAATCGGCCGATTTTCGTCCCGTCTACGGCCGGCATTTAATTACTTCTGTCCCTGCAGAGAGCTCCGCTATTATATTTGACATGAAAGTCTTGCAGTTGCAACAATGTATCCATTTTGGATACAGATGTTTTTATTCAGATACAAATAGATACAATGTTGCAACCGCAATTCTTTTCATATAAAATATAATAACGGACTGGAATTCTTTTTCTTCTTCGATTTTTTTCCAACTTTACCAATAAAAAAAATGTGCCAAAACCCCCAAAAACGGCCGACCAATTAACCCACTAAAAAAAAAAATTTCGACCCGTCTATGGCCTGCATAAGTATGAATGGCAGGTAAGATATTAAACACCTTTAGTTTTGATACACCTGATTGTATTTAGAGTAATTTAACTGCGTTTACGTTCCTGTATTCCCCGCAATTGGGTTTAAAAAAAAAAATTGGATGCATTTGTAATTGTGCAAAATACTAATATTCGCAAGACATAACATTGTAGAGTTTTGATTCAGGATGTTATCCGATTGCCTAAGGATCAAGAAGGAATTTTATCCTGTTGGAGAAAACTCAATCCAATTGTTTTTTGGGGTTTTTTTGGTAATAATTGCAGACATGTTTTTTGTTCACATGTTCACTTTAAACAGTTACCAGATTCATATAAAGATATTATGTATTTTAATAAAAAATGTTTAGCCAAAGAGTAACCTCTATGGTCAGTCGCTACATTGCAATTGTGTATTATGCAAAGATAGTAAAGGTAACATTAGTATCTGGCATCACCCTCCATGCCCTGTAGGCACAACGGCTTATACAAACAGGCCATAGCTGACAGCTAGGATTACACAGAACACAAAGGCGTGTTGCCACTGCAAACAACAGCTCTTCACTGCCACCGCTTATGTGAAATTGGGAATACCATTCGCTGGCATGCAGCTCGAGCGGAACAAACCTCACAGAATGGAAATTGCTTATTTTTAAAACTGTGTTTATCCAAGCAGGGGGCTATAAGGAACCTCTGGTTACTGGAATGCTATGTAGTCCAGGATTAGAGATTTCATGTTTTACTGATGGTTGGATGTGAATTGTATCCAAACACAAGAGCACAAATGGGAGGTGGGAGGGGTTCTGTAGTTCTTAGAGACAGTTGGGAACAATGTAATGGATAGACACAGGCAAAGAACAAAAAAAGTTATCAGCTCACAAGGATCAAAAGATTTTTTTTTTCACTTTAAACAGATAAGAAAACACATTCAATTATATATTTACCATAACAAAAAGAAAGCAAATAAGAAAAGATTGTTGTTAGGACGTACATACAGTAAGGAAAAGTAAAGGATAGGTTCACCTTTTGTAACCTGTTACACCCATATTCAAGGTATAACATGTAACTGTAGGACCAGACCCTGAACCCCTTGTTCCTCCCTCCCCCTGCTGTGACAGTTAGCGGGGGATCTTCTTACCTCCATTAGCTATCACAATTTAAAAAAAAAACAGGGCCGTTACAGGTTCCGGCCGCGTCACAGAGTTCTGTGAATGGGAAACTACAAGTACTGAGTTTTTGCAGCTGTCGGCTTGTAGTTTTCAATGATCTGTTGAGAGCTGTGGTAGTTCATGGATTCTTTCGGTCAATGTAAAACTGCCTGCCAGTACGATGTACGGGCAGACAGATTGCACTGACAATATGCAGGACACCTGCGATCTGCTGATCGCTGGTACAATATTTACCAGGCTCCTAAAACAAAAAATAGTAAATGCACATTTTATTACCTGCAATAAACGTGCATTTATTATTTTTTGTTAAATGGTGAACTAACCCTGTTGACATCTACGTAGCAAAGTGAAATGCAGGGACACCGCAGCGAATGTAAGCTTGCGAGGTGTTCAGGCTGTTTGAAGCAGTAGTAAACTGCAATAAAAAAATACATAAACTGGTCCCCAGCAGGTTCCACATACTAGCACTTAACTAAAAAATGGATTCCTCCAGCGGCACGCTGTCACTGCTGACAGGGATTCCATCTTCACCTGGTCTTCCTTTAGGGTTCGCGGGCTAGGCCGTTTAAATGGCTGAGCTGTGATGACATCACTACAACACATGTGCATGGGAGCGACGGCTGCGGCACAGCTCTCTCAAAGAATGGCATGCTGTCCATTGAGAGCGTAGTGCGGACCCTCCGGTGACATCACTGGCTGCTACACATGTAAATACACTATATCACCAAAAAGTATCAGTACGCCTGCCTTTACACACACATGAGCTTTAATGGCATCCCAATCTTAGTCCGTAGGGTTCAATATTGGGTTGGCCCGCCCTTTGCAGATATAACAGCTTCAACTCTTCTGGGAAGGCTGTCCACAAGGTTTAGGAGTGTGTCTATGGGAATGTTTGACCATTCTTCCTGAAGCGCACTGATGTCGTGAGGTCAGGCACTGATGTCGGACGAGAAGGTCTGGCTCGCAGTCTCCACTCTAATTCATCCCAAAGGTGTTCTATTGGGTTGAGGTCAGGACTCTGTGCAGGCCAGTCAAGTTCCTCCACCCCAAACTCATTCATCCATGTCTTTCTGGACCTTGCTTTGTGCACTGGTGCGCAGTCATGTTGGAAGAAGGAGGGGCCATTTCCAAACTATTCCCAGAAAGTTGGGAGCATGAAATTGTCCAAAATGTCTTGATATGGTGATGCATTAGGAGTTCCCTTCACTGGGTCTAAAGGGGCCCAACCCCTGAAAAACAACCCCACACCATAATCCCCCCTCAACCAAACTTTACACTTGGCACAATGCAGTCAGGCAAGTACCATTCTCCTGGCAACCGTCAAACCCAGACTCATCCAGCATCGGATTGCCAGATAGAGAATCGTGATTGGACAACCCAGAGAACACGTCTCCACAACTCGAGTCCAGTCGCGGCGTGCTTTACACCACTGCATCCGATGCTTTGCATTGCACTTGGTGATGTAAAGCTTAGATGCAGCTGCTCAGACATGGAAACCCATTCCATGAAGTGCTCTATGCATTGTTGTTGTAATCTGAAGGGCACACAAAGTTTGGAAGTCTTTAGCTATTGGCTCTGCAGAGGGTTGCCGACTTCTGTGCACTTCAGCATGCACTGACCCCGCTTTGTCATTTTACGTGGCCTACCACTTCCTGGCTGTTGTTCCCAGTTGCTTCCACTTTGTTATAATACCACTAACAGTTGACCGCGGAATATTTAGTAGCAAGGAAATATCACATATGGACTTATTGCACAGGTGGCGACCTATTAAGGTATCACACTTGAATTCACTGAGCTCCTGAGAGCGACCCATTCTTTCACAAATGTTTGTAGAAGCAGTCTGTATGCCTAGGTGCTTGATTTTATACACCTGTGGCCATGGAGGCAAGGAACGCATGTTTAGGAGATATTTACTGTATCTACCAGTAACCCTTATCATTGACTTATCTGTAGCTACAAGATAACAAACAGTGTTTACTACCTCTTTAATATCCTTTTAAAAGCTGAACTCCAGGTAAGATTTAAAACTACCCCTGCAGTGGGGCAAAGCTCCTCCTGCACTGCAAGGATTACATGCTCTTTTCTGTCTACGGTACCTTTAAATACAGTTCTACTTAAAGTGGTTCTAAAGCCTAAACATTTTTTGCCTTAATGCATTCTCTGCAATAAGTTAAAAAAGGTTCCAGTAGCAGTATTTCCCCCTCACCCTGCAATCTACTTACCTGAGTCCTCACTCAATCCAGCGCTGTGCCCCTCAATAGCGACTCTCTCCTCTCTGGCCACTCTCACAGGCTTTGCTGGGGCAGCAGGAGCCATTGGCTCCTGCTGCTGTCAGTCAGATCCTGTGAATCACCACAGGAGCAAGGGCAAGGC